TTGTACTCTGGAAGCTGAACAGCGCTCACCGAGGCCAGCGTCTTCCCGCCCGCAACTCCCAGGTTTCGCCCATTTCTGGTCAGTTTCGAGGGTGCTTCCGTGGCGGTTGGGGGAAGAGGCCGGGAAGGACAATAGGTGGACTTTCCAGGTCTGGTGCCACGGGTGGGGGGGTCCTCGGGATCACTCTGGGAGACATTTTCTCAGTTTGTGCGCCATCCTGGCTGGGTCAGATCCACGGCATGCGGGTGGCTGCCCTCAGAATCCGCTTTCGTTGGAAGAACCGCGTAGTGCCGCCCTAGCTGGACAAGAAAGGATTGCGTTTTCTTCTCTACTGTGATAATATCCTCGTCACCACCACCATCACCATTTACACCCCCTTTTAATTAAAACAACCGAACAAAAAGCTCGCCAGCTCGTCCCCTCAGCTGCTTTGGAGGATGAACAAAGCAGCCCCGTCGTCGCCCCTCCCTACCTCTGTTTTCTAAGTTGCCAGGTTTGGGGTAGGAAAAGAAAATGGAGAGGTACTTGGAATGGAGACTCAGCCATAAAGCAAACATTAACCTCAAGTAACACCGGGAACGGGTGGACTCCCTCTTGCTTTCCCCTCCCTCCTTACTTTGGATTAGAAAGGAGAAAGAAAACCTCCCGCACCGAACTGATACCCAGGGAGGAGGTAGCCCTGTACTTCCGCCAAAGCCGCAGCTTAGAGAAGAAGCCTTCGCAATTAAGCCAAGATTTCGACGTTGCCTTTAGAAGGTGGACGACTTGGGTGAAATAAATTTAAAAACCTGCTCCGGGAGGGGGTATAAAAACAAACCAAATCCTCACTTAGAAGCGGCGTCGGGTTTCTTTTGACCCCCCTTCCCTACTGCCTTGTTTATAGCTACAAAGCATTATAAACGTTATTCCCACCTTCTGCCAATCAAAACCCCGAAGAAAATCGAAAATCGTTTTGTAAAGGTGATGGAGGAAACCGTGCAGAAATCCCTTTCTTTATACCACCCCCCCTCCAAGTAGGAAGAAAACAAGGGAGACCCAACTATACCAGATACAACCCTCTGCCTTCCAACCCTACAGGGAAATAGGGCATTTGGAAGCGGGTTCTGCCTTCGTTCTGTACAGAAGGTTGGTAGATGGGGGTCATGAAGAGAATGGCTGGTGACTCCCAGGTTCTGACCCGGTGACCAAGGCCTGAAGATTCTTGTCTTTTCCATCATGTCCTCTTCACCCGCCTCAGAAAGGGAATTACACCTTGGCACTGTGGTGACAGCCAAAGCCTGGGTTCAGGTTGTCGAGCAAGCTGCATAGACGAATCCATGCTTAGAAAACATATTCGGCCTTTCTGAATCAGACTGATCCGTTAGAGGGTTCGAAAATGTTCTGGGCAGCCTGCCGGGAGAGGCTGTTGTTGTTGGACTAAGTAGTTATTCCTGATTGGTCAGGTGTAGGGTTCATTTTTTTTTTTTTTTAATCGGGACGTGTTTGGGGGATGGGGGCTCCAAACACCTGCAAGTTGGAGGCGGAAAGACGTTTGCTATTCTTTGGGCTGGCGGGGCACACGAGGTAATTCCCAACCATTGACCCCCCATTTTCTCTCTCGCCCTCCCTCTTTCTCTCCACCCCCATCTTTCCTGGAAACTCGTTTTGGGCGCGGCAGACCGCGCAGGACCTCACCGCTAGCTAAGTAACTGCTGGCCTCTGAACAAGAGCCGGGAAAACACAGATCTGGGTTCCCACCTCGATCCCTCTCCAGCTGAGGAGTGGAAGTCCTAACCAGAAGGCCAGTCTTTCTAAATATGCCCCAGGTGAGTTGCGGGCCGCTGTCTTGGGGAGGGGCCAATGCCTGTGGAAACAGTGTTCAGGGTTGCCGACTGGGATGGGGAGGCTCAGAACTGGGAAGACTGGCAGCAGCAGGGTGTTGGGCGGGGGTGAGCAACTTAGGCTAGGAACGCAGGATCTGACTGCCACTAGCTGCCTCAGGTCTCCAGCAGGGCCCTTTCCTTTTTCCGGCCTCGGATAAAACCAGTTGGTTGGATATGTCCTCCAGGCCGCTCCCATGGTCCCGGTTCCGTGCACATTTCATAAGGCCGGTAACTTTGTTGTGGCTACATCCGGGTGGCTCGGATTGTGCTTGGAGCTCAGGCAGGAAAAAGGCCAAGGCCATCTCGGCTAAGGCCTGAGGCCTAGGACGCTGTGGTAGAGATCACTGGCGTGCTTGGTTGCAATGTAGGCTTTGTGTTTCACCACGGTGTATAGCGCGTATGCGTGCCAATGGCGGGATGGGAGGACGAGTCTAAGGCGACAGCTATTTCTTAAAAACAAAAAGTAAATAAAAAATCCTGAGCTAGGATTTGGGTTATTATAAATTGCTGGAGAGGATGCTGTGTGAGTACCAAAAAGGAGCTGTCCCTTCCCCTTGTTCGGACACCCATTGTCACATGCTGGCTGGAATTGGGGCAACTGGGAGATGAACATGGGGTAGAGGCTGCAGCCCGGCTCTCTGAAGCACAAAGAGCTACAGTGGTCGAATGCTGCAGTCTAGTCCCGAGCTTCCTCCATTTTCATCCTCCCTTAATAAAAACAAGTGCATAAAAGCCACTCAGTGTTAACCTGGGGCTGCTGGGGGTGATCCTGGTCTTAGGAGTGGGCTAGGTTTACCTAAGGTCCCAGAGCTGAGCATGGAGCAAGGGTTCTACTGGAACCCTTGACGATAGGGATACTTGTATCATCTGATGAGGCTTTTTTGGGGGGTGTCAGGGTCAATTCATCTGTTCCTTTTGGGTCTTGGGAACCAGCTTCTGTCACTGCAGCAGAATTAATCAGGAATATAAAGGTGCCAGAGGGAGGGGGCTCAGTTAGTACAGTGCATGTTTGTCCTTAGAAAAGTACCGGTCATTGAAAGCGCACAGATGGTGGTGGCAGTGAGGTAGGTGCCTCTGGCTTGTGTATTTCACCAGGGGCTGGCTTATTTCTGGTGCACTTCACCAGGAGGGAGGGAAGCCACGGTGGCTACCACACTTCAGGTTCATTTCCGGTGGTTGTGGTATTCTCCTTATATAGACCTTTTGTCTCCACTATAATTGTGAACTCAATTTTAGTGAGGCATCACAGGGCCATACTGGCTTTGCAACTTGTGACGAGTCTTGGGGAATTTTGTTATTTCCAGACTGGCCTAACCCAGAACAGCCTGTGTAGCCTGAATTGCAGTCCCTGAGTTTTGGAGGAGGCCGAAGAAGGTTCAATTTCCTTTCCTTGATAGGAGGATGAGTTCCCATGATAACCCTAGTCCAGGACATTGCAGTGGTCAAATGGGAGCTCCGTGTCTGCCACCAGCGATTAGATGGGTTCTTGTTTGGAACCGACTTGGACATTTTTGTATTTATTTTCTGTTTTAAAATACCCCAGTTTGGGCCAATAAGATGACTCAGTGGGTTAGGGCACAGCTGTCAAGTCAATTTGTGATCCTCAGGACCCACGCTGTGAAAGGAGAGAACAGGCTCTTGAAAATTGCCCTCTTGAGTTCCACATTAGTGGCTGTGGCATGTGCACCCTCATACACAAATAAGTAAATGTAACAAAAATTTAAAAAAATAAAATAGCCAATTATCTAATCCTGGGAGCAGAGACCTTAGTTTGAAAAATTTTATAAAGCCTGCCAAAGTGGTGTCTGTATGTATGTATGCGCATGCATCCATAAATGTACACATTGGGGATATGGGATCATGTGTAGCCTAGGCTAACCTCAAATTCAGGATTCTTTAGCACGCTTCTCAGTGCTGGGGCTATAAGCATGTGCCACCATACCTGGTGAGTTCGTTGCATTTTTATTTTTAAAATTAGAGCAACTCACAAGTACCCTCCAACTTTGTATCCTGAGTTATACAGATTTGGTGTCTGGCCTGTTGCTGGGCTAGGTGCCATCTGGAGAAAGCTAGGTGGTGCAAGATCCCTCACACTGTTGGGAAATAGAGTGGCTGTGCTCATCACGGAGGTATGGTTAAAGCCTAGGAAGTTTCTGGGCTCCGGGATTTATATGAGAAGGTAATGTACAGTGAGATCTGAGCTCCATGTTATGGAGGACACTACGGTGTGTGCATGTAGGGCTTCATTAGAAGAATTCAAGGGCCTTCGTGGTATTTTTCTTCATCATGATAGGAGCCCAGATCCTACTGGCTTCTGGAGTACTTCCAGCATCTGGGTTCCTGGTGTCTCAGTCAGGTTTCCCTTCCAGACTTACGCTCACTTTGGAGGCCAGCTGAGCAGAATGGGGTGAAGTGTGCAGGAGGGTAGGGCCAGAATCCAGGGTCAGCTCCGTTCCTTGACTTCTTTTCTCGTGGTAGGGTGGCTGCGAGCAGAATCCAGTGCGGGTTTGCTTGGTGTAGCCACCCTCCCTCTGGGCAGGAAGAATATTGGGGGAAGATGGCTGGCTTTTCTGGAATACTTCTGACATGCAGCTGAACAGAACCTTGTTCTTGTAGCCTCCACACCCCACTCCACCACCATACTGTTTCTGGGTGTATTTATGTGGGGTGCATGTTTGTGGCAGTAGATCCGGGAGAGGTTCCTAAAGCACCTTGCTCGGGTCGAGAGATTCCCCGCCAAAACCAAAAGGGGGGCGGGAAGGATATGCTCGCTCGCTCTGGAGATTTGTTCCCTCCCCTTCCCCTGTGGCCTAAGGAGGGACTGGGTGATCTGTCTTTCTCTTCTCCGAGCATTTCCTTCCTCCTTTCCCCTTCGATTTTGTTTCGCTGGCTGTATTCCTTTTCTTCCAATGTTTCTGCTGTCTTTCTCCAGCTGTTCTTATCCTTGAACCCTGTGCCCCCCGGGGCTCGCTCAACCCTCTTCTCCCAATCTAGAGACACCACCATCTCGCCCCAGCCCTAGGCCCGCGGGCCCTTCACGCCGCCAGGGCGGGGGTGTGTGTCCACGTGGCCCTGAGTTTGTCCGCTTTTCACGTCTCAGTGCGGCGATCGCCTCTCTGCCCCTTACCCGGTTACAGGATGACGGAGCGGCCGCCGAGCGAGGCGGCACGCAGTGACCCGCAGCTAGAGGGACAGGACGCGGCCGAGGCCCGCATGGCCCCCCCGCACCTAGTCTTGCTCAACGGCGTCGCCAAGGAGACGAGCCGCGCAGCCCCTGCGGAGCCCCCGGTCATCGAGCTAGGCGCGCGCAGCAGCGCGGGGGGCGGCCCCGCCGGTGGGGGCGGGGCCGTAAGGGACTTAAAGAGCCGCGACGCGGTGGCAGCAGAAGCTCGCCCTCGAGTGCCCACCCCCGAGCTGTGCAGACCTCCCGGCCCCGCTCCGGCGCCTGTCCCCGCCTCGGCCCCCACAGAGCTGCCGGGAGACGGCCGCATGGTGCAGCTGAGCCCGCCTGCGCTGGCAGCCCCTGCCGGCCCTGGCCGCGCGCTGCTCTACAGCCTCAGCCAGCCACTGGCCTCTCGCGGCAGGTGAGCGCCCTGGTCCCCTGCTGCGTTACGGGTCTAGGAAGGGCTTCAGGAGAACTGGGGCGTTTAAAGACTCCGGGATGAAAGGGCGAAAGGGAGTAGTGGCTAGAGTCCCCCCGAGTGCACAGTGCCCTCTTGGGGGGGGGGGGGAGGGGGAGAAGCAGGGGAGGTTGCAGAGAACCATGTTAGGCAGGAAGGGTTCTTTCAGGCCAGTGTGTGAATGAATACGCCTCTGCAGTTTTTTTTTTTTTTTTTTTGGTTTTTCGAGACAGGGTTTCTCTGTGTAGCTTTGGAGCCTATCCTGGCACTCGCTCTGGAGACCAGGCTGGCCTCGAACTCACAGAGATCCGCCTGCCTCTGCCTCCTGAGTTCTGGGATTAAAGGCGTGCGCCACCAACGCCCGGCTCCAGGCCAGCTCTTCTTAACCTCTGCTAGGATGCGGTGAGCGACACTGCCATCGGCGCCTAGCCCTTCTGCTCCTTACCTGCGTTATTAGAGCCACCCGGCTTTGGCTGGTGTGAGGACACTGGCTTCCTTGCTGCTCCCCCACCCCTCGTGGTGAGGGCAGATGAAAGACGGGCAGAGGGAAGGAATTCTAGGAGATGTGTTGGCAGAGCAGCAGGGGAGCGCTGTGGCGAGTTAGTGAGCCACTGTCAGTGATCCAGAAGGGATGGGCGGGGTTTGATGGGTGAGGGAGACAGGCTGCAGGAGACACTGAGATCTGTGTGGTATTGGAGTTGCCTGTCATCACTCCTCCTGTGTCCTCCAGTGTAGGTACTTGTCCCTGAGCGAAGGTGTCTGCCAGGATTGCATGCCTGTTGGGCGCAGGGGTGGAGGTAGGGGGAGGCAAGAGTGTGTTTGTGGTATGTGTGTGTGCGCGCGCGCTTATGCTTGCGTATGCTTATGTTTTGTTCCATATTTTCACCCGTTTCACTTTTGTGTGCAGGGAGCAGGGTTGCCTTACGGGGAGGGGAATTCAAGGCATTTAGGGAGAATACATCTAAGAAGCCTTTTTGTCTTCAACCCCACCTGCTCTTTCCACAGTGGGTTCTTCGGGGAGCCGGATGCCTTCCCCATGTTTACCAACAACAACCGGGTGAAGAGGAGGCCCTCCCCATATGAGATGGAGATTACTGATGGTGAGTCTATACTCATCCCTCACCCTGGTTAGAGCTATCTGCAGTGGGGAGCATGGGGACAGTGCAGATATCTCACACAGGTAAGAAGGCCACCCTGGAGCCCCAAACTGCCGGAACTCTGCACCCTGGATCCGAGTTAGGACTGTCACTTAAATCTGTAAAGTCAACCACATACAGTTCCCATTCCAGGCTTGATTCCTACACTTTGGCAAGGATCTAGGAGGGTAGAAACACTTCAGGTCCCCAACTCCAGCTCCTGCATCTCAAATCCACTTTGGAATCTCTGGCCGGAGCTGTGCCTTTTAAGAGTTTCTTGCCAGATCTGTCTGTTGTGGGACCCTTCTGTCCCTCTTTCACTTCCTGGGCTGAGACCAAAAATGGCTTATGGTGCCATGGAATATGTATAACCAGGGGAACTCAGCATTGATGGGAATGCTCTACATACTCTTTGACCTGGATGAGTGAAGATTTGGAGCCCTGCCCACTCCTCCCAATGTTGACCTGATCGTACCAGGGCAGGAAAGTGGTCTCTCAGTAGGCTAAGGGGACTCAGGCCTATGGTGGAATTTTCAGTGCTGCTATTTGTCTGGGGCCCCTGCAGGAAGTGTGTTGAGGCTGGAGGAGAGCTGAAATGGAGGCTGAGAGCCTGTAGAAGGTGTGTGTGGCAAAACTTGTGCTTCTAGAGAAAGGTCTAGAAAGGAGAAGGCTGGAGTCTGACAATACAGAAGAGACACCAGAACCCACAACAGCCCAGGATACAGACATTCAGAACAAAGAGGAGGGTGATTGATGGCTGCTTCTGGGTGAGAGGGCTCTTTAGCTCCTTACAGGTTCTGTGGCCGTGTAGGTGCTCCTGATTCCTCTTTCTCTGCCTGTCAGAAAGCTGTCAGGGGACAGTGAAGTTGTGTCCACCTAACACTGGGATGTCCTCATCACAGGACTTCCGAATGTCTCATCCCCAGCTTGACTCCCAGCACAAACACATTGCTAACAGCCACCAGTTAACCCAAGGGTATGAAGTGAGGTGGTGACAACTATCATTCTTGGCATTTGTTGGACACCTATTTCATATACCAGACTTTTTGTATGCTTAGTCTTTGTGTAATTCTCAACACAAATCCACGTGGTTAATTTTGCTTCTATTCACAGATGAAGAAATTGAATCTCAGAGAGGTTAAGCAGCTTGCTCAAAGTCATAGAGCCCAGTACTAAACCATAATTATAGCATTGACCTTAAACTTTGGAATAAGTTCTGGATCCCTTCTTACCTTGTAGAGTCTGTCTGGCTCTCACTGTGATGACAGTTATAATGCCCCCATGTTCACCTAGGAACTTCCACCAGCTCATGAACATTAGCCATGATACAAAGGACTGGCTCTATATCACAGCTGAGAAATCCCATCTTTGGTCTAGAGGTCTGGGGACACTAAATTGCTTTTCTGAGGCAGTTCAGTGTAGGTCTACCCTGTAGGTTTGTGGTCTTTTTCCCTGTCTGTTTCTGACACTTAAAAAGTTTCCAGGAGCTGCAAGTAAGGCAAGGGCTGAGGAAACTTCTCAGGGTGGGAGGGGCATAGAGTGTGGGTATAGGCACATGCAAACGAGAGAAAGGGACCATCAAGAAGTAGGCATCTACCTGGTCAAGTAAGTCCTAGACTGAGCACTGTCTCCATCCTTAGCCATAAAGTGACCACTGGATTCAGATGTCCTTATCTTTCTCCCTCTCCCCAAGTTTCCAATCTAAGCCCTGGACCTAGTAGGATCCTCAGGCTGGGTTGTCCCTTCTGTACACCAAACTTCTTAAAGGTTGTCAGGGCCTATGGCTTTGTGGTAGCAAGGAAGATTGCTACCACACTGGGGTGGGGGTCCTCTTATGTTTTCCCTGCCCTGAGAATCCCGGGTCATGTTTGAACACTTGGCACAGTGCCCTGCACACCTTAGGCATTGCACACATGTGCATTGGTATCGGCTGCTGTCTGGCTGGCAGGCTTAGCATCAGTGTGGTAATGATTATTGGGTCCGGAGGCAGTCCTTAGAACCATGGCTGTGCGTGGTTCTTCTACTCCTTTCCTGGGATGGGGGCCTAGAGGTCTTTCCTTTCGCTTCTGCTCTCTAGTCTCCCCTCTATTCTCCTACCTGCACCTGTGGTAGTCCACTTAGGAAGCATACTAAGCTCGAATTTTGTGCTGTTACCCCTGGAACTGCATTTATGCCTTTCTTACCGTAGAGACTTTTGAGATATGGACCCTGCCTCCTCTTCTCTTATGCCTACTCCTCCAGCCAGGAAGGCACCAGTCACATTTCTACCTCAGTACCTTTGCATATGTCATTTCCTCTGCTCAGGGATTCTTCCCTTCCTGTGTCTGCATGGCTTTGCTTCAACCTGAAGTTTTGTTTAGTTTTAAATAAATGCTTTGCTAGCCACCTTAGCTTCTTTACATCTTTTACTTGCCAATCTGCCCTTTTGTTGTGTTTTTAATTTTTTTTTTTGTTCCTTGTTCTTCTTCCATCTTCATTAAAATGTGAACTCCACAAGGGTAGGGACCCTGCCTGGTCTATTCCTCCTTACTTCATACCTTGGTGCTTTTTTGGCTCTTGAGCTTCTCAGAGGAGCGCTTTGAAGGTCTCTACCTGATTTTGACACATGTCCTTCCATCTTCAGGTCCTCACACCAAAGTGGTCAGGCGCATCTTCACCAACAGCCGGGAGCGATGGCGGCAGCAGAATGTGAATGGGGCATTTGCTGAGCTCCGCAAGCTGATCCCCACCCACCCACCAGACAAGAAGCTAAGCAAGAATGAGATCCTTCGCCTCGCCATGAAGTACATAAATTTCCTAGCCAAGTTGCTCAATGACCAGGAGGAAGAAGGCACCCAGCGTGCCAAGCCTGGCAAGGACCCTGTGGTGGGAGCTGGTGGGGGTGGGACAGGGGGTAGCATGCCCCCTGAAGACCTTCTACAGGACGTGCTTTCCCCCAATTCCAGCTGTGGTAGCTCTCTGGATGGAGCAGCCAGCCCGGACAGTTACACTGAGGAGCCAACGCCCAAGCACACTTCTCGCAGCCTCCACCCTGCCCTGCTGCCTGCCACTGATGGGGCTGGCCCCCGGTGATGCGTCTGGGGCTGCCCAGGGCCAGCAGGTAGGGGCTCTTAGGCCCCTGGGTTGCTGGGTTTCAGGGCAGGTGGGATGAGAAGCAGGGCAATGGACTCGGTGGGCTTCCCTTATAGTCTGAACTTTGGGAAGTCCCAACTGACCCTGGGCTGGTGTTCCTGTTTCCTGCTTGGAAACAGAAGAGGAAAACAGAGTGAATTAGTAGGTACTTTATCTGAAGATGGCACAGTCTTCTCCCTTTCCCAACTCCCAAGACTTCTCAGTTAGTGGCTCAAGTGTCACTGTTTTTGGTCTAGAGTGTGTGAGCCTTGTTTTGGACAAGATCTGGGGTTGTCACCCGTTACCTGAGGCATCCAGCAGCCTCTGCCTTGCCTTTAGTCCATCCCGAGCTGGCTGGGGTGGCTTTTGTGGCAGCTTCTGTTCAAATATATAGGTACCCAAGAGCTGCCCATTTCTTGAGTCCCATCTTCACCCAGGTCCGAGTTGATCCATCTAGCTTGCCAGCTGCTCCAGAGAGTCAAGCCTCGAGGTGCCTTCTTCAGGGCTTGGTTGGAAAAGATGGCCAGTGAACAGACAGTCTGCTCTCAACTAGCTGGGCCAGAAAACCCAACAGCCCTTCTTGCTCTGGGGAATCGGAGCTCTGCTTTCTCCCCACTGAGACTTGCCTTCCTATCCTGCAGCTGTGAGGACCAAGTCAGCAGCCTGGAGCATGCTCTGTTGGGCTATGTGCAGGCTCAGAAAGAGAAAGTGACAGTAGAGTGAAACAAAGCAAGAGTGTTTGGGGCATTGGGTGTCACCTTCTGCACATCACTGTTCGTGCAGGGGAGCAAATGATAGTGTGCTGAGGCATTGCATGTTGGTGCTGGGGTTATGCAGTCCATGCTGATGCATTGCATGTCAGTGCTGGAGTTGTGCAGTCCATAGGCTTTCTCCAGGGAAGTTTCCTGTTGCAAGATGTCTGTTGGCTGATGGTCTGGATTTCCACATGGAGTACAGACTGTCCCGTAAATACTCTATTTTGGGATTCGGCCTAACCAGTTGTTGGTGGAAACTCTGGGCCATGATACCGCCTAAGATGTAACCTGCTGCTAGGGCAAGGAGTCCAGTCAGAGGTGAGGCCCTGGCTTGAGACCTAAGCATGCAAATTTGCTCAGCCCAACTTTTAAGTATGCTCCTGTCACACAACTGCAGGCCCCACCTGTGTGCATGGCAGGTTGGTTTAATGCAATGTGAGTGCCCCCTCTAAAAGCTGTACATGAAATTTTTGTAAAGCAAATCCTTCTCCTTCACCCCTGCAAGTCATTTTGTAAAGTGGAGAATCCTTTTGTAGTATGGACAACTGCCCCATTGTCTCTTTCCTGTGTTAATCCTGGTGGTGGGACCGAGTTTTCTTCAAGAAAGGTCTGCTTATAATGAAGTTAAAGCCCATGAAACAAACTGCACAGAAGTCCTGTGTATCTGTCATTGTACCAGAGTCACCTAGAGCTCTCTCTCTCTCTCTTTGTCTCTGTCTCTCTGTATCTGTCTCTCCCTCTATTCCTGTCTCCCTAGGATTTGCCTTTGAGCCAGAAAGAAAATATCCAAAGGCCCCATCTTGTAATGTAAGAGCCCATCACTTTTCTGTTTGAGTTTCAGTACCATGATGGGGCCTGAGTATATATAAACAAAGATGGATCCTGCTCCCCTCCCCTTCTACTAAGCACTGAGGTTCCCCAGCCATAGGGAGAATATGGTCAGCTTCTAAGGCACTGGATTCTTTGTCTCATATCACGATGTGCTGTTACTTATATCGCCGTGAACATTAAAGTTGGTTTCTTCCCATTGCTTGAGAGTCAGCCCAAGGAGTCTGACCTATGTGAAAATGGAACAACTGTCCTGAGCTCGAAGGCTGTGTTTTATTCTCAGTGGAGTGATGGCTTGGGATTGAAAAATGTTGATCTGTAGGTGAATTTTCTGAGAGAGACCACACATTTGTTGAGAGCTTATGTTATGGTTCCCATTCTCAGCTTTGTAGTGTCACTGGGATGGATACACTAGGCAGTGGGGTGGACTGACTGCGATAATGAGTCTGTAAAGAATTCTGTTGCACACTAAGGATGCAGTGCAGTGGAGAGCAGCACACATGATGTGCTGGGTTCAATACCCAGCACAGACACAAAAGCTTCATTACCCTTAGTGATGACCCTGCAGTGAGGTTCTGGCCAGAGTTCAGGCTCTGGACAGTTGCTATTTGTGTAATTTAGGTTATAAAGTACCTTCCCTTGTGCTGTCCAGATTCTCATTTCTCTAGATTTATCTTAGTTTCTCCCTTATTCCAAGGCAATAGACAGGAGTGAGAAAGGAAGAGAAATTGTGAATACAGACAGTGCCTCCAGACTGCTGTACTTCCTAAGGGGCTGGAAGGGAAGGGCTAGGGTTTGGTCTTTGTAAGATCTAAGGAAGACCCCAAATTCTGTTTTCATCTTCAACACCCCATATCTTCTTCCTTTGCCTCCTCCCAACCCTTGAAGAAATGGCAACATCCCAAGAATAATATCTGTACAAAAGGGGAAAATGTAAACGTGAAAAAACATTTGAGAAAAACAATGAACATAAGAATTAGAAAGAATCCTATATTTCAAGAATAATTCATGTTTATTTGTGGTGGCAAGTGACAATATGGTACAACCTTTATCATTTTTTTCCAGAAACAAAAACAAAGGGCACAGCAACTGTAGTGAGCTGACAGCTATTTTGGCCTTTTGGGTGGGTCTAGCCATACTTGGGATCCCAGTGGTACATGACCCTCCACAGAAGGCTTGCCCCAGCCTGTGTACATAGCACACCATGTCTGTGGGCAGGCCCAGCACTTTCCGTCAGTGTCGTACTGTATGTGATGAACTGTGTTGGCCTCTGCATTTTTCTGCAGAAGAGGAGTAACTGCTCCGGGTACCTTGATGTTTGTACAGCCTAGAGGCCAACACTGTGGGCGTGTGACTCTTTATTGGGCGGGGGGAATAAAACAAAAAATACCAGTGTGGTGATGATGGTGTGTGTATATATATATAAAGTTATATGGGGGAATATTTCTAAATAAAAACTTTACAAAGGGTCCCGGACTTTGCTTGCACTTTGCACCCTAGAGCCTGAGGATGGGGACATTAAAGTGGAAAGCCTGGCAAGGCTTGGCTTCATTCCTCTTTGGAAGTGGGGTCCAGCTCCTACTCTCAGAACAAGTCTGTAGGGAGGAAGGAGGCTATCCTCTGGGGGTCAGCTGTTTTTTTTTCCTCCTGAAAGGCTTCACAGTGCTTCAGTACCCTGTCCTAGTGTTTGCAGTCTTTTGGATTAGCTTCCTCCTTCCCGTTCCCTGGTTGGGGTCATTGCTCATAGCGAGAGATTAGGGCAGATAAGTGACTGTTGCTGTCCTCAGGTTTCCTGATGACTCCTGATACCTGGCCTTTGTTTTTTCTTTTTAAGAGATTTATTTTTTATTTTATTTTATTTTATGTGTATGGGTGTTTTGCCTGTATGCAGTGCTCACAGTGGCCAGAAGAGGGCGTCTATCCCATGGAATTGGAGTTACAGACAGTTGCAAGCTGCCATGTAGGTGCTGAAGTTTCATGAATGGAATTTGAGACAGAGTTTGTGGGTCCTAGGAAGGCCATTGCACATGGATGGTTGACCCCTTGGGAATTTGCAGGTGGGCACCTCAGAGTGTAGCTTCTGTTTTCTCTTTAGTAGGCATTTGCTAAGCACCTGCTCTGGGCAGATACTGTCCTGTTGGCAAGGGTTCAGCACTGACCAAAACAAACATGGATGTTATCCACTGAAGCTTACGTTCTAGAAGGGAGAGGGTAAATGCACAAACACACACAACTAGAGTTAAACATAAAATGATTAGTATTAACCCACAGTGAGTTTCAGGCCATCCCGGTCTACATGAGACAGTCTCAAAAACCAAGACCAAAAGGAGTGGTAAGGAACAAAAGGGGACAGTTTAACAGGGATAGTTCAGGGAAGGCCCTAGGATGCCATCTTTTCCATTCAGGGTCAGAGAGTTCCTGGTTTCAGGAGCAGCATTGTCCTAGGGACAAGATTGGGTCTGTCTACTTGGTTTATGGGCTAAGAGGCTCTGATAAGTCTTTTACTTTCTTCCTCTGTGGACTTCAGTACTCACCCCCCGCTCTCCAAATCTAGAGATGTGGACACTAGCTTAGATGGCCTCCACCAGGGAATTCAATGGTCTCACAGTTAATTCCTATCCTGCCTGTCTCTGGTCTCAGCAGCACTTGCCGTCTTGGCTTCTATCCATCTCCTAGAGGGAGCGGGTAGGATTCAGCCGGAGTGTCAAGATCTGACCCAGCCTGTTGGGAACTCCTCAGATATGCCTCTCCCTGGCCCAGGGCAAGGAGTATGATTTGGCCTTGAGGTGGGGAGAAAAAATAGATCCTAGGCTCACAGCCTGGAGTGGCAGGATGAAGGGACTGCCATGAAAGGAGAGAAAGAAAGAGGGTAGGGAATGAAGAATAGCATTTGGGGTGGAGGAGTAGCCAGCCGTGTTCGGTACAACTGAGGACTCATGCAAAGACAGGTTGAGCTAATTGGTTTTAGCATGGATGGCTGATGGCTGGGGGAGAGCAGCAGCGGAGAGGAGGAGAGGCAGCAGTCTGAGGGTCCTGGGATAACCCTCCCCATCCTAGAAGGACTTTCCTCGGGAGAAACAAGCCTTTCCATGTAATGGGGGCAGAGAGGACCCAAGGACTCTGGCCACCAAGAGAAAAAACAGGCTCCTGGAAGTCATCTGTGGAGACAGAGACCCAGAGAGAAAATGTCTTTCTAAGCCTTGTATTCCATAGTGACAAGTAGGCAGGCCCAGGCCTCCTGTCCCCGAGACAGTGTTGTTCCTGAAGCCCAGAATCCCTGACTCCACAAAAAAAGAAAAGTACCCCGAGGCCTTGCCCGAAATATTTTTTTATCTGTTCCCTTTTATTTCTTACCACTCCTTTTTGTTGTTAATATTG